GCAAGGGAGGGGCAGGATAGGGAATCCCAAGCAGGCTCCATGCTCATTGCAGAGTCCAACAGCGCTTGATCCCATGACCCTGGGATCATGACTGAGGCAAAATCAAGAGCCAGATGTTCAACTGACTGAGCCACCCAGGTGCCCCCTCAAGCATCTTGAATTTTTTAAAAACACTATTTGTGAATTTGAGGACTTCTGATTTTACAGCAAAAATACACAATTTAGCTTGTTCATAACAAGTCTAATTTTGAAATATGTTTAGAGCCCTGAAAACATCAAAAAATAAGGTTCTTAGGGAAAGGTTCAATCCTCCACACTTTCTTGCTCCCCAATACATGTCATTTCATATGGGATATTTTTTATTCAATAATCTTTTAAAATATCTTAATCTGTAATAGTAAAGGTAATAGTAAATAGTAAAGGTAATAGTAAAGGTAAATAGGAAAGTAAAAAGAAGAAAGACACTAAGGGGCCCAGTTAGAAGCCATGCTTCAGGAGAGACAAGTCTGGTGACCTGGACAATTATAAATGCTGTGAGGAGAAGGCATGAAAGGCAGGGCGGGGACAGGGGGATCTGCAAAGACTCTGAACTAGCTGAAGGCAAAGGGAAGAAAAGCCTAGCTTAGGAGGGTAGCTGTGGGAAAGAAGCAAATGAGAATTTATATTTACAAGGAGCAAATCTGCTGATCTTTCTAGGATCCTACCCTTAACACCCTGATACTACCATGTTACACTCAGAGTAAGGGTGATGAACATCAGGAGAGGCCTATATGCACCTTTGACCTGGTGCTTTTCATCCCTAAAGTTATACTCAAAGCGACGCCTCACAGATCATAGACATCTAAGGTCAGCCAGGTAAGAAGATACTTTCTATTTCCCCAAGTAACCAGATAGGAAGGCTATTTTAACAATTTTGAACTGCATGAATTTATCTTATGCACATATTGCTTAAAAGTGTAAACAAAGAAAACTAGGGGTGCCTGGGTGGCTCAGTGAGTTGAGTGTCTCTTGATTTTGGCTCAGGTCATGATCCCAGGGTCATGGGATGGAGTCCCACATCAGGCTCCATGCAAAGTATAGAGCCTGCTTAAGATTCTCTTTCTCTTCCTCTGCCCCTCCCTCCCACTTGTGCACTCTCTAAAAACAAAGAATAATTAAAAACAAAAACATTTTAAAAGTCTCTTTCAAGCCTATTAAAAAAAAAGAACTAGTTTTAAGAAAGTCATTATTTATAAGGAAATAATCACATCCCCCAAATTTAGAGATATACCACAAAACAAATGGCCTATACTCTTCAAAAATGTCAATGCTCTGGACAGAGCCGAGAAACTCTTTTAGATGCAGTGTGTGCTCACAGATTAGGTATCAATCAGAAAAAGATACGCAATTCTAATCATTTGGCAAAATTTAAATATAGACTACATATTAAGTAAGTGTCTTAACAATCCTAAATTCCTGTATTTGATCATTGGTCATAAAAGAAAATGTCCTTAGTTCTTAGGAGATATATGCTGATGTTTCTGGGATAAAAGGTCATGTATGAAATTTATTACAAAATGGTTTCAGGGGAAACACATAAATAGAAATATATTTATATGCACACCCATAGATATATATTTATACACATACACAGAATATGTATGTAACACAGAATATGCAAATGTAGCAAAATACAACCATTAGTGTACAAAGTGCCTCCAAATCTTCTGAATGATGGGCCTTGTACCTATTAGATGTTACCCTCAAGGACAGAGTATAAAGCTGAACAATTACCATCTGATAGAAATGCATACCGGAGGTTAAGTAGAAAGCAACAGGAGGGGCACCTGGGTGGCTCAGGCAGCTGAGTGTCCGACTCTTGATTTCAGCTCAGATCAGGATCCCAGGGTCTTGGAAATGAGCCCCACGTCAGGCTCTGTACTGACTGTGAAGCCTGCTTAAGATATTCTCTCTCTCTCTCCCCCTTTGGCCCTCTGCCCCTCTCCCCTGCTCATTCTCACTCTAAAATTAAAAAATGAAGAATTAAAAAAAAAAAATGATAAAGCAATAGTAATTGGAGAGGAAGGCATGACCATCAGGGCAGGAGCCAGACAGTGTCAGAAAAAGCTTCTCAGAGAAGGTATCTTGAACTTATCACTAGAAGTAAAGGGCAAGGAAGGCATTCTAGCCAGAGAAAACAGCAGAAGGCTGCATGAAAGAGGATGAATGTTCAGGCCTGACCAGGACACGTGAAAGAAACCACTAAAGACTTTCTAGCTAGGATAATATTATATACCATCAAATTTGTACTTTTGAAAGAAAAGTTAATTTGAGGGTTGTATGTGGAAGACTTAAGATTAGATTTAAGTATTTCATGTAGAAGATGATGCTTGAATAGAGATAAGAGGAAAGGCTCTATAAAGATTCTGGATGGGGTGCCTGTGTGGCCTAATTGGTTGAGCATCCAACTCTTGATTTCGGCTCAGGTCATTATCTCATGGTTCATGGGTTCAAAAATAAATAAACCTTAAAAAAAAAGATTCTGGAGCTAGAACTGATAGGAACTAATGATTGGCTTTAGTGGCTTTAGCTAAGGTGGAAAGGTAGAAAGTGTCCCATTAACAGACATGAAATCTATGAGAATGTTTAGGAAGAACACAGGTTAAATAAATACTGAACACAAGTTTTTAAGATAATCTAACAGTTAATTGTTTAATGACTTTTTTTCCCTCTAAAAGAATATGGTTTAAATTTACTAGTAAAAAAATAAATAAAAAAAATAAAAGAATACGGTCTATCTCCAATTTCAGTGCAGTTCCTATTTAGTTCAGGTTCAAACAACAGGTATTAGATTCATCTATATGCCAGGTGCTGGCTTAAAAACCTGTTTTTTTTTTCCTTATAAAAAATAAAGCTGGGAATGATACACACAAAAAAGAAAAGGAGACCCAGAGGCTATCGTACCTGTGAGGTAAAGGTCAGCCTCTACCCCCTGCAGCACGGTGCTCCCAGAACCAGCACACAGGGCCACGACTCTGACTGGAGACTCTTCAAAATAAAGGAAACAAGAGACCAACACATTACAATTCCCCTTCATTTTAATATTATAATTTGTATCAATAATCTTTCACATAATGCAGACTTTACTCCTGGTCTCATTACCAGTAAATGAACTTTGCTTACTGAATTTAAAAAAATAATAAAACACATCTTCATATAGACAGATGATTCTTTGGTATTGCAAAAATAACCCAATGCAGGGCTATTAATTCCTTCAAACAGACATAGCTGTGCACAAGCCCACATAAGGCTGGTAAAGTGACCATCCTGGTTTTCCAGGCAACAGCGAGAGATAGGCAGGTACCAGCTCCTTCTCAGGTGAGGGACTAAAAGGGCTAGTTATAGGAATGCTACAAACTCATTTGACATGTATTTTTAAATATCATATTTAACTCAAAAGAACAACCTCTGTAGAGTTGCTGTAGAGTAAAATAACAGAAACTTTGAAGCCCAAATCCAACAAGTATTTAGCACTTAAGGCTTCTAGAATGGACACTTCATTACTGGTCATTCCACCAGTGGTATTTTAAGAGAGAGGCTGAGGGTGCCCTCTGTATGGAGAGCTCTGGGACCCCCTGGCCTATACCTATTTCAGGTACAGCTGTGCTGCCAGGGTGCCCCCTGTGCAAAGCACTCAGGTTCCCCCCCCACCAGTCCATGCCTCACCTCAGCTCCACAGAGCACACAGAGCACCCTGGAACACTTGGCTTACATCCACTTCAGCTTCAGTTATCCTGCCAAGGCATTCTCTGAGAGCCTTAGGACCACCCCAGTCCATGCCCACTTTAGCTCCAACCATCCCACTAGGGTAGCTCCAGCACAGAGTGCCCTGGGAGTCTGCCCATGCCCAACACCATTCCAGCCAACCAAAGTCACCAGGCACACAGTCTACTCAGGGATGACCATACATAAGACCATTCCTTCAAGTTGGGGAGAAGCAGCTGTTCCGCATAATTCATAGAAGTGAACACAGAAAGTCAAGCAAAATGAGAAGACAGAAGAATATGATCCACATGAAAGAATAAAATGAAACTTCAGAGAAAGAACTAAATGAAACAGGGAGAAGTAATACTCCAGGTAAAAAGTTTAAGGTAATGGTCATAAAGATGCTCACCAGACTGGAGAGAAGAGTGGAAGAACTCAGTGAGAACTTCAACATAGAGACAGAAATTTTTTTTTTTTTTAAAAACCTATCAGGCTACCTGGTAGCTCAGTTGGCTGAGCATCAACTTTGGTTCAGGTCATGATCTCGCGGTTTGTGAGTTCAAGCCCCACAGTGGGCTCACTGCTCTCAGTGCAGAGCCTGCTTCAGATCCTGTGTCCCTCTCTCTCTGCCCATCCCCCACTTGTGCTCTCTCAAAAATAAACAAAACATTTAAAAAAACCCTACCAGAAATGGAGAATATAACTGCAATGAAAAATACATTAGAGGGAATTAACAAATGCAGAACAGATCAGTGATCTGAAAAACTGATAATGGAACACAGCCAACCTGAACAGAAAAAGAAAAAAAAAAAAATTTAATGAGGATAGGTTAAGGGATCTCTTCAACATCAAGTGAACAATCATAGCATATATCGGTCTCAGAAGGAGAAGAAAGAAAAAGGCAGAAAATTTATTTGAAGAAATAACAGTTGGGAAGCCTGGGTGGTTCAGTCAGTTGAGCGTCCAATGTCAGCCCAGATCATGATCTCACAGTTTCTGAGTTCGAGCCCCATGTTGGCTTTGCACTGACAGCACAGAGTCAACTTTAGATCCTGTCTCCTTCCCTCCCTCTCTCTCTCTGCCTCTCTCCCACTCATGCTTGCTCTGTCTCAAAAATAAACATTAAAAAAAAATTTAATAAAAAATAAAAATAAATTTAAAAAAGAAAGAAAGAATAGCTGAAAACTTCCCTGACCTGGAGAAGGAAACACAGAGAGTCCAAACAAGACACACCCAAGGAGATCCACACCATGACACATAATAACTGAAATGTCCAAGACTAAAGATAAAGAGAATTTTAAAAGAAGTAACTGAGAAGCAAAAAGTTATTTATATGGAAAACTCTGGAAGGCGATCAGCTGATTTTCAGCAGAAATTTTGCAGGCCAAAAGGGAATGTATCATGATATATTCAAAATGCTAAAAGGAAAAAAACCCACCATCAAGAATAATCTACCCAGGGGGTACCTGGGTGGCTCAGTTGGCTAAGCATCCAGCTCTTGACTTCAGCTCTAGTCATGATCTCATGGTTTCATGGGTTCAAGCCCCACATTAGGCTCCATGCTGACACTGCGGAGCCTGATTGAGATTCTGTCTCCCTCTCTCTGCCCCTCCCCTGCTCATGTGCTCTCTCTCTCTCTCAAAAAAAAAAAAAAAAAAAAAAAAAATATATATATATATATAATCTACCTAGCCAGATTATCATTCAGATTTGAAGGAGAGATAAAATGAGTTTCCCAGACAAGCAAAAGTTAAAGGAGTTCATCACCACTACACCAGACTTACAACAAATGTTAAAGAATTTCTTTTAAGTAGAAAAGAAAAAGCCATAATTGGGAAATAGTTACGAATAAAAAGATGTAAAATATGATGCCACACACAACATGAGGGAATAAAAAACAAGTGCTTTTAAAAGGTGTTCCAACTTGGGGTGCCTGGGCAGCTCAGTCAGTTGAGCATCTGACTTCAGGTCATGGTCTCATGGTTTGTGAGTTCAAGCCCCACATCAGGGTCTCTGCTGTCAGCACAGAGCCCACTTCAGATGCACTGTCTCCCTCTCTCTTGGCCCCTCCACTGCGTGTGCGTGCTCTCTCTCTCAAAAATAAACATTAAAAAAAAAAAAAAGGTGTTCGAACTTAAGTGACCATCAATTATAGATGGCTATATATTTAGGGTCCTATAGAGAAACTTTCTGGTAACCACAAACACAAAAATCTGTAACAGATCCACAAAAACTGAAAAGAAAGCAAGCCAAGCATAACACTAAAGAAAATTACCAGTGACAAGGAAAGGGAACAAGAGAAGAAAAAAGGAACAGAAAAGAACTACATAAATCACCAGAAAACAATTAACAAAATAAAAATAAGCACATACCTATCAGTAATTACTTTAAATGTAAATGGTGTAAATGCAACAATCAAAAAATATAGGATGAAGTGAGTCTCTTGTAGGCAGCATATAGAAGGGTCTGTATTTTATCACTTGAGACCTAAAGATACATACAAACTGAAGGAAAAGGGATGGAAGAAGATTCCACGCAAATGGAAGCAAAACAAAACAAAGGTAGCAATACAAAATAGACTTTAAAACAAAGATGTAACAAGAGAGAAAGAAGGCATTACATAATGGTAAAGAAATCAATGCAAAAGAGGATATAACAATTATAAGTATCTCTGCACCCAATACTGGAGCACCTAAATACATAAAACAAGTATTAACAAATATCAACAGAAAGTTTGACCGTACTATCATAACAGTAGGAGACTTTAACACCTACTTATATTGATGGATAAATCATCCAGGCAGAAAATCCATAAAGAAACAGTGTCTTTGGACAACACATTAGTGTTAGCAGATATATACAGAACATTCCATCCCAAAACAACAGAATATACCTTCTTTTCAAACGTACATGGAAGATTCTCCAGGATAAAACATGTTAGGCCAAAAAAGAAGTCTCAATCGGGGCGCCTGGGTGGCTCAGTCTGTTGAGCGTCCAACTTCGGCTTGGGTCATGATCTCACGGAGTGTGAGTTCAAGCCCCGCATCGGGCTGACAGCTCGGAGCCTGGAGCCTGCTCTGGATTCTGTGTGTGTGTCTCTCTCTCTGCCCCTAACCCACTTGCATTGTCTCTGTCTCTCTCAAAAATAAATAAAACATTTAAAAAGAATTAAAAAAAAATAAGTCTCAATAAATTTGTGAAGACTAAAATCATATCATGCATCTTTTCCAACCACAATGGTAGGAAACTAGAAATCAATCACAAGAAAAAAACTGGAAAAAACCACAAACATGTGGGAGCTAAACAACCAATGTGTCAACAAAGAAATCAAAAAATACAGAGACAAATGAAAATGAAAACATGATCGTCCAAAATCTTTGGGACACAGCAAAAGCAGTGAAAGGAAAATTTACAGTGATACAGGCCTACATCAAGAAACAAGAAATATCTGAACAATCTAACCTTACATCTAACAGAATGAGAACAACAACAAAACCCAAGGTTAGTGGAAGGAAATAAAAGATCAGGACAGAAATAAATGAAATACAGACTAAAATAAAAAAACAATAGAAAAGACAAGGAAACGAAGAGCTGTTTCTTTGAATAGATAAACAAAAATTGATAAACCTTTAGCCAGACTTATCAAGAAAAATAGAGAGGACCCAAATTTAAAAAATCAGAAATGAATGAAGTAACAACTGACAAAACAGAAATCCAAAGAGACTACTATGAAAAATTATATGCCAACAAACTGAACAACCTAGAAGAAATAGATAAACTCTTGGAAAAACACAATCTTCCAAAATTGAATCAGGGATTAATAGAAAATCTAAACAGACTGGGGCACCGGTGTGGCTCAGTGAGTTGAGTGTCTGCTTCTTGATTTCAGCTCAGGTCATGATCCCAGGGATGTGGGATCAAGTCCCATGATGGACTGAGAGTGGAACCTGCTTAAGATTCTCTCCCTTCCTCTGCCCCTCTCCCCACTGATGCACACACTCTCTCTCTAAAGTGAAAACAAATAAAATCTGAACAGACCAATTCAATGAAATTTAATGGGTAATCAAAAAACTCCCAACAAATACAAGTCTAGATATATAGATAAATTTACCAAACAAGGAAGATTTGATAGGTATTCTCCTTCAACTATTCCAAAAAATAGAAGAGGAAGGAAAGCTTCAAATACATTCTACAAGGTCAGCATTACCCTGACACCAAAACTAGACAAAGACACTCCCAACCTACAGGCCAATATCCCTGGTGAATGATGCAAAAATCCTCAACAAAATACTAGCAACCCACATTCACCAATACATCCACCACAACCAAACTGAATTAATTCCAAGGACACAAGGATGATCCTTCAATATTCAGAATATCAATGTAAAACACATTAACAAAGGATAAAAATCATATGACCATCTCAATAGGGGCAGAACAGGATAAAATTCAACATCTGTTCATGATAAAAACCTCAAAGTGGGTTTAAAGGAAACATACCTTTAATAGGAACAAGACAAGGGTGCCCACTCTTGCCACTGGAAGTCCTAGTCATAGCAATCAGACAATAAAAGGCATCCAAATTGTTAAGGAAGAAGTGAAACTCTCACTATTTGCAGACAACATAATAGTATACACAAGAAAACCCCAAGACTCCACCAAAAGTAATAATAAATGAATTCAATAATGTTGCAAAATACAAACTAATACACAGGAATCTGTTGCATTTCTATACACTAATAATGAAATAGCAGAAAGAGAAATTAAGAAAACAACTCCATTTACAACTGCACCAAAAAGAATAAAATAGGAATAAACTCAACCAATGAAGTCAATGTCCTATACTCTGAAAACTATAAAACACTGATGGAAGAAATTGAAGGTAACACAAAGAAATGCAAAGATATTCCACTATCATGGATGTGATGAATTAATATTGTGAAAATGTCCATACTACCGAAGCAATCTACAGATTCAGTGCAATCCCTATCAAAATACTAACAGTAGTTTTTACAGAACTGGAACAAATAATACTAAAATTTGTGTGGCTGCACAAAAGACCCTGAACATTGAAAGCAATCTTGAGAAAGAACAAAGCAGGAGGCATCATCATACTACCCAATTTCAAGATATACTACAGGGACACCCGGGTGGCTCAGTCGGTTAAGGGTCCAACTCTTGATTTCGGCTCAGGTCATGATTACACACTTCATGGGATTGAGCCTCACGTCAAACTCTGTGCCAACAGCGCAGAGCCTGCTTGGGATTCTCTTTCTCCTTCTGCCCCCTCCCCTGCTCATTCTCTGTCTCTCTCTCTCTCCCTCAAAACAAACATACGTTAAAAACAAGATATACTACAAAGGTTTAATAATCAAAAATGTATTGTGCTGGCATAAAAATAGACACATAGATCAATGGAACAGCTGAGAAATATACCCCCATTTATATATGGTCAATTAATCTTCAACAAAGGAGGCAAGAATATCCAATGGGAAAAAGTCTCTTCAACATATGGTGTTGGAACAATCCTAAAGTTTGTATGGAACCACAAAAGACCTGAATAACCAAAGTAATGTTGAAAAAGAAAACCAAAGCAGGAGGCATGACCATCACAGACTTTAGCCTCTAGTACAAAGCTGTAATGATCAAGACAGTCTGGTATTGGCACAAAAACAGACACACAGACCAAGGGAA